CCAAAGACAGCATAATTGTTCTCCGACAAATTATTTTGATCTTTTATCACCTGTCACTGTGATGATGATTCTGTAATTTTTATTGTGTGATAAATACTCAGTCAGGCTGTTTTGTATTGCCCTGAGGTCTGAGCAATTTTGCAGGGTATTTGAATAACTGAACTTTACATGGTAAGTTTTATGCATATGTTTGTCAGTGCCCGCATATAGCTACAAATGTCCAAGGTAGGCGCAGTGACCCAGGAGGTCAGACTGGATGACAAAACAGCCCTTAGCGCTATGAATATGGGAGGAGATGGCAAGAGCAGCCAAGGCCAAAGGCCACTTTCCCATTCTCACGTGTCCCGCTAGCAGAAGGGGAGCCAGGGCCACTGTTGGCATGTGTTGGAGGTTGTGGCTTCCCAAAGGGTGAGTGGTCCCCTCCAGAGTCCCTTTGGAGCTCATGGAGGGACAGCCTGAGCAACGTGTCCCGCGTAAAGCAGGTATTGCGCGCTCGGCATCAAGGGCACTCCTGAGTCCTTCAGAACACTGTGAGTGCCACTGAGGAGCACTGAGTGCCAGCTTAGACAAGGAAAGCAAGTTTTGGTTATAAAACCACTTGCTTTTCTGTTGAGGGGCAAAGTTATAAAAAAAAACTATTAGTCAACACTGTAATTGATGGTTTGATGGTAATTTGCAGCAGCACGGTGCCATGAATATCAATTTTATTCATAAGAGCAGATAATGAAAACTTTTCATTTTGTAGTGACTCACGTGTAACACACTGCATTTCCTTTAATAGGAAATGATGCGCGTACAAAATCTATAGTTGCTATGATTAGTTGTTGCTGATCTTTAAAGATAAGAAGGAAAGTGGAGGAAAAAAAGTGAGAACTGTGTTGATTTATCAACAAGAAAGTTACTCAGATACCAGAAGTAATGAGGCTCTGAATAGAAATGTCTATAATGAATCACTTCCTTGAAGTATAATTTGGCTTGTGTTTAGAACTATCTAAGGACAGCTCTGAAGTCCTAGGAAGTGTGCATTTCATGAGGAAAAGTGAAATTTCTTTAAGCGACTAAAGATGAAATCCATCCCTGTTACATAATTGCAACCACTTTCTTCACTCTTGAGCTTTTGGGAAACTCCTTCCTAATTTCTGATCAAAATGTCATGAAATCAGACTTCCTACAAGAATAAAAAAAGAGCATGATTTCATTGAATTGGTGCTAGAAGAGCAGTCAGAAATATAGAACATCTTTAAAGTAATCCAGACTGCCATTCAGAAAGACTGCATTGGTCTGCTCTGAGTGCTTATTTTCATTGTCGGTCATAAAGGATAAAAATAAATGTCAATTTAGTAAGACAATTCTAACTTTTAAAAATTACTGCATATTATTATGGTGAGTTGAGCATGGCTGCCCACAGATCTGTGAACTTCTGTCCTTCTGCTTTAAGAACAAATATCCTAATTTGGTGGTCAGGAAGCCACCCCCCACCAAAGCAAGAAAGGACTGAAATCTCTCTATATATCTAGTCTTTTTCAGTTGGTTGCCAATTGCTCTATTGAGTTTTTACCCCCAAACATGACAATTCTGATTAAAAAAAAAAAAAACATGAAAACCATTGGTACTGCTCTAGGTGATCCAGCTCTTTTTGCTGCTCTACCTCCAGAGTATTTCCATCTTCTGAGTAATTTTAACAACAGAGGATTACCACTGTCCTATAAATCTCAGCAATTGCTATTAATTTATTTCATCTAATACCTAGTAAAGATGGAAATAATGTTTAAGTTGGAGATTTATTGCTTGATCCTTAAGTAGAATTTTTTCAACTATTAAATCTTAAATAAGGCAGTAAATTCATCCACTCTCTGGGCAATTCACTACATTATTCTTTCTGAACAGTCATCCTGGATTTTATGCTACTACGCAAATGCAGCACCTGATTCATTTCTTGTATCCCTCTGTCTTCCAAAGTTGTGTTTCCATTCAGAATCACTGATTTTTACCCTTCTCTACAATTATGAATTTTTAACCATATGTGTCTTTGTGGTGCTGAAGAGTCTTCCAGTCATTGTGCAAGTTCTGGCTGAGGCATCAGTTCAAGTTTGGTGGGTTTTTGTCTAAATCTTGCCCATGCTCCTATGCTATATAAGGATGACATCTATTGCAGGGGTGGGGCGAGGCAATGGTGATGCTAAATAAAAAGATCGAGTTCTTTGTTCTTTGACACCCGCGTTGGCATTAAACCATTTTTCTCCTGACAAGTCTGTGGGTTTTAGCATTGATCATGAGTTTTGGTACTCTGTTCACGATGCAAGATGTCAGGGTGGCTAATCTTGGACACACACTTTCTCTCAAAGCCAGCATTGGCACCCGGTGCCTCTTCAAAGCCTTTTGCTTAATTTTTCTAATTCTTAGCAGGTTTTCCGGTTCAGGTCTGCTTCCAGGCTACAATCTCATTAATGGATACTCATTCATTTCTTGCTTCTTTCAGCACATATTCATGTTATCCATATAATTCTTGTACTGCCTTTTATTTTTCTCCTTCTTTCCTTATACAAGCTTTGTTTTCTTTCTTGCAGAGCTTTCCTTGGCTTGGTTTCATTTCTCTTTTGTTCACAAGGGTCCTTATTTCCTCACTTATCCAGAATTAAGCCCTGGGAGGCTGGGAGGAGATATGGCACCTGACATTTATGAGCTGATTTCTTGTGACTGAAGATCTATAACTCCTGCAATGACTAAGTCCTCCATAAATACTGGTACATAGATCAAAGTGACTATCGATTTTCCACCTGACATAGAGTTTCAAGAGCAGGCCAAAGAGCTTCGAGGCAGCTGCGCTTTGCGTTTTGTTTCCAAGATGCCCGGCAGAGCGGAGCGCAAAGTTGGACACTGCTGCCCAGTTTATCTTGATTAAAAAGAGCAGATGACGTGGCTGCTGGTTCCAGTAAAACCACCACGTACTCCAGTACCACAGACGGAGTAATAGCTAGTACTGTCGTACAAAAAGTATCCTTTCGTATTCTCTCCCATCTGTAACTGTGGATTTCCTTCATAATAGAATAGAATAGTAATTTGTATACTTTGGAAGGAGAATTTTCTAGACTCTGAATATTAAGCATCTTTTCTATAAAGCTTTACTTTTTTTTTGAAGATATTTGAGCTATATTAGGATTCAAAAAAAAAGTACCATGTAAAGGTGAGAGGTTCCACTATTAAACTGCACTAAGGAAGAGCTGCTAAGTTCAGTCTCATTAGTCTTGTGCTACTAGGTATTAAATGTCATTGCTTTTCAGACTCCCTGTGACTCACCTTGTGACTTGAAACAAGCCCATCACCAAGAAGCAGGATCTCCAGAGACCTCGCTGAGGCTTTCCCCACTTTGAAGGCAGGTTGGTAGGATTGAGTAGGTAGTTGGTAGGTAGGTTGGATTGATATGGGGATGCCAAAGCTCCTTCCCACCCTGCTCAGCCCCATAAACCCTCCTGGCCATTGCAAAGGACTGCCAGCCATCCCTGTCCATGTATAGCGAGGCCTCGATACCGCTGTCCTGGTGGGACAGGCATCCAGAGAGAGAGAGAGAGACCAATGGGATATAGGGGTCAGAAAGTTATTCACTAGAAGTTTCCTCCTATAAATGCTTATTCATAGGATTTCAAACTTTCTCCTCCTTGTTGTTCAAAAACAGAGGAGGAGTTAACGTGCTGGTTCTGCATGCTGATGTTTCTGGCTCTAGGACAGTACATGGCCAGTCTCAGTCCATGTAGGTGATCCTCTCAGGGCAAGCCAGGGCAGCCACCCAGCCACATCCGCAGCGTGGACACCCTCACCCAGGTTCCAGGCCTGATCTGACCAGGCTGCCAAACGTATCACTCTGATAACGGGTCCAACATCAAAACTGGACAAGAAGCTGAAGCACTCAGGAGTTTGTCCTGCCTTCAGCTGGAGGAGATGAACTTCAGAGATGCTGCACACTCAAGCCAAGTGACTGCTGGTGGCTGAATACAAGATCAGGAGTTGGGATTCAGCTCTGAGGATCTCAGCTTTGCAGCTGGGTCCCTCATTGCTGACTCAACGCCAAAGGCAGAACAGCTTGCTCCTGGTTTTAGCATATAGCCCTCGCAGAAACACGCGGATCAGCGCACGCGCTTCCCAGCTAGGCTACAACACTGATGCTCCAATGCTTCTCCAAGCTCACGTTCCTATTCTGGGTGACCAAAGGACCAAATACACCCACGCCTGTGGCTTGATCCTTGGCTCCACAGGTTAGCAGGATGTCTAGTCAAAAATTTTAAACAGAAGAGGTGCCAGTAAGTATTAAACTGAACAATACGCTATATGAAGGTGTATGCAAGATTGGCAAACCAAATTTCTGCCCATAATGCTATTTTAATAGTCCACAATTTTACAGTGACATGTGTTCAAAATTATCATTTCCAGAAAACTGCACAAGACTTAGGAAGTTAACCAGAATGTGAAAAGAGCTCTTCAGAAAAACACAACATAATAAACATTTTGCCAACTCTTTGAATGTATTTATTCATGTTTGCATTTGTGTAAGGAAGTTTTCATGCTATAAATTTTTATTAAAAACATATCATTAGAAATAAATAGTACATTTATAATCATAAACGAGTTTTTACACACACTAACGTCGGATTTCTGGTAACAAAACTGGGTGTATATTCCACCATTTTTTTTGTTTGTTTGTACCTGATACAAAAGGATAAAGTTCCTGCATGGAGTTTATACTAATTGTGGGTTTTGTATGTGCTCAAATTACAGAAGTTTGTATATATCCCCTAATAATAGTTGCATTGGAAACACAGTCTTCTGTTCTATCAACTTTTGATGCAGTAAATGAGCTTAAATATTGCACGAACAAATTATCATAGTAATAACAAAGATTAATATAGTGGTTGTTTTGTTCTGCTTGCTCATGGGAATGATTGATTTATATGAAAACAGAAATACGCTTTTACTGTAGAAAGGTTTGATAATACCAGTTGTTTTGAATCCACCAGAATTTTATTTTCATTAGTTGGGTGAAAATGTGTTGTTTGGCTTATCAGATACTAGGAAAGCAGAATTCCTCAATGCTGTTCTCCTTTCTGTTTTCTAGTTCCTGCAGATCAAGTTGATAATACTCAAATGTCACGCGATTGACGTGCTTTCCGCTGGAGACCATTCGTAGCACTGTATTGTCACAGCCAATCTTCATTTGGGCTAATTAGGGAAAATAAATATGAGAGTATAAATATAGCTTTATATATAAACTTTTTCCTTGAAGTCACACAAAGATGGCACAAAGGTATGTAATCGTGAAAACAAAGCAAGTATTTGCATGTAGCGATAATGGACCGGTGGTGGCAAAACTAAAACTTTCCTTGTGTTTTTTAGTTTTACTTTCAATGGCTTGGCTAGTTCATTGTGTCTAACTTTTACTCAATACCACTCAGTCTTCTAATGAACTCCTATTTTCATGTACTTATAGATAGACAAGATAGAATGGTCTGTAGATGGCTATGGCTTGAGATGTGTGCTGCTTTTGGAAATCATGACACTTAAAGGTAATAGCCTTTACCCTACCCTACCATGGACATATTTAAAATCAGTATTTTAAAAACTCTTCCTATTAGAAGGATGGGTGGTGTTGTGCAGAAGTGAAGGTATTTAAGAGTAAAAAAGAGCCAAGAGAGAGAAACTCAGATGCCAGTGCACAATATGGAGAGAGAATCAAAAATCAAGCCTAGGAAGCATGTCACTGACCATTGCATTTAGATGAGCTGCTTGAGGGCTTTGCCTGTTTAAGGGAAAGGGTCATTTGGAGAATGTGAACTGACAGGATATGATCTCCCCTTCTGTCTATTGAAAACACTTTCACATCGCAGAAAAGCATGTTTAAATCTCACTGCAGTGCTCAGCACCAGTGCTTGTTGGTTAAAGCTTTGAACAGCGGCCGGGCCACTACCTCGTGGTGCCATTAAAGGCCCTGGAGAATGCTCCTGGTCTCTAACCGCGAGGAAAAACAGCCCCTCCGGTGTACTCATTTACACTCCAAGGTCAAATGCTCCATCAGCCACGCATACATATGGTTTATGGAAGCCTAGCTGTGTCATCACTGCTAGATTTTTTACTCGTCTACATTAAATATGAGGGGATTTGGGAATTTTTGTTTCTATGCTGGGAAAGATTAGGAACATGGCATAATTGTGGCCACACGCTCAGAGCTCCCCCAAGGTCTGAAGCAGTGAGTGAAAGCTCTGAGGTCTGTTTTTATTTCTGCAGCAGAAAAGATACACTGTCTAGGTGAGGAACAATTCCTTAACAAAAAATGTAACCACTCTGTCTTCATTTATTATAAATTTCCAGGGTCATGTCTATTGAGGTTTTAATAACCATATCTGTCATATGCAAGTGTTTAAAAAAATGAATAGCTTAACCTTGTTATAATGATTATACACACAGGTAAGTGAAAGCACTTTTGGTTTTGCTGTACCAAACATACTGACTGAATAGCTTTCATTCTCACCAGCTACACATGAAGTTCACAAGTCTAGCAGGAAGTCCACATTTGGATGGACCCTGCAGGACTCCCTCCAGTTCTTTATTTTATCATGTGGAGATGTAACTAGGAGGGGGAGGAGTTCTCACCCGAGCCATGAAAGGAGTGACAGAGATCAGCTAGTGGAAACATCTTGGAAGGGTCTAAGCCAGTTCCTCCTAACAGCTCTACGAAGTCCCCCATTCCTGTGCAGCCTGCTGATGGTTTCTGAAAAGACAAAGACAAAAATGTATTATATATCTTCAAAATATAACAATTCTCTAGACATGATTGCAGTCAACAGCTGTTATTAGAAGCCCTCTGCTCAAAACTGTAAGAAAAATCTGGCTGTTCTTATCCCAAGTAATAATACTTCAATTTGACACTAACAAGTTAATTTTCCTTAGAGATTCCAAAGAAAGACCTAAGTGGGCTCTGAAAATTACAGTTATGTAGTTAAAGTGTTGATTCAATTGACTTAAGTGCAGATAAGCAATCTGATCATAGGGTTTAGACATGTAATCAGATTAATACAGTCATGCACTGAATGTATGCCCACACTCAGCTGATAGGCAGTAACTTAAGCTGTATTGAACTTTTAGATCCCTAAGCAATAAGGTTGCTAAAATACACTATTGTTCAGATGAAGTAGGAATTAACAAAATGATATTTTTGCGTGAAAAAATATCTTAATCAATATTCTTCTAATGTAGAAAATGCTTTAAATTTGATTTATATTTTCCTTGTTTTGACTTTTTTCTTGCCTATTTTTTGCCTACTTCTTGATAATAAAAGCAGGAGTTAGTCTCTTTCTGATGAGAAAAAGGGAGAGTCTCTGTGAAAATAGCATGTAAGGCAAGGGTAAAACAACTAATTGGTTTCATCCAAGTGAAGGATGCAGGCTACCAGTTGCAGCAGCAGCAAGATAACAAACTCGGTGTCTGTTCAGAACCATTGCTGCTTTCATTAGCTTAAATGCAGACAGACCGCTCTCTAGGCAAGTGCTCCTTTCCTCCTAATGAGATTCTTAGCCTTTGATATGGCAAGCAATATTTACATGCATTAATGGCACTCTGCATAATTCGATTGCCTCTGTGACACTACAGAGACAATAGCGACAGAGACAGACCCAGTGCTGATCTCTGTGGGGACGCGGGAGCCCGCAGCGGCTGTGAACGTGATCCCGAGCACACATGCCGTAAGAGCCGCTGCCGAGAGCAGAGCCTGCCCCTGCTTCACCCTCCCCGTCCCTCTTCCTGTCCCAGGAAAATTACTATGGAACAGAAAAGCTCACCTTTAGAAAGAGGCCATTTAAATGTCCCAGGATAAGATCAGATATTTTTATCACCACTGGGTAAATTATAGAAAAGCTGCAGTTCCTGTGCTGATGAGGAATGACCATGGTAAATTTTCCAGAAGGAGTCTGAGAGATGACATTGCAAGCTGGGGCGTGGGGAAAAGGTGCAAGAGTTAGTTGTGCAATCATAACTGTCCCAGTGTAGCAAGGACATGTGCATTTACCATACAGAACAGATGATTTCATTACTGAGATATATAACACAATGCTGAAAAAAAAATCGTATGGTGTTTTCTATATTTCTTACATGGCATTGGTTCTCTAGAAATTCCCTGTGCATTGCTTACAGTTTAGTATTGAGCGTGGCAGAACCCGAAGGTGGAGCTGTAGGTAGGAAAGCTTCCACCACACATGAACAATTCACATGGTCGAGGTGGAAGGTGCCAGTTTGAAGGGGATTAGATACAGATGCAGGGCTTTCTTTTAGTTTTATGTATGTTTTGACTTGCTGTTACCAGACATTGCTAAAATAAAAATCTGGAGGCAGATGCAGCAGTTGCACAGAACAGTCACATCTGCAGGCACGGAGCCACACCAACGTGGAGAGACCACTTCCCAGCTTGGGCCTCTGCAACAAAGAGCAGGGCAGGTTCTCCAGCCTTTGCACAGTAAGGCAGCTGAGCCATACTGGCCTGAACAACAGTGGTCAAATATTTAAATCAGATCTTCTGCCCATTTTGGACAAATTCATGCATGTAATCATCCTGCCTACTTTGACAGCTCTGGGGCTTAGGGAGACAACTTGAAAGTAGATCCTTATAATCAAATAGCACTTTTCATGTAATTGTTCAAAATACTGTTTGTATGGCTGAACATCTGCAATTTTTTGTTTAATTTTTGTTCATCCAGATGCAAAAAATTCCTAAGATTAAAAATCTCTTAATTAACTTTGCTTGTTCTTGCCAAATGTGTTTGGACATGACAATATTAGACTGGAATAGAACTTTTTTGAACCATACATCCTTTGGTTCCTGACTGCAGAAGCTCTGCTAAAATTATATCTATTATTAATCATATTATTCACTATGTTTTATTTTTATATTTATTTTGCAACATATACTAAGCCTGGATCAAATCCTGGTGCATGTGTATCCAGTGGAGTTACTGAAACTAATCCAGTGCAAACATAGAGTGAATTTGATGCAAACTGATATATTAATTTTGATTTCTGTACAAAATGTAAGCCCATTTGGCAATATAAAAATCAGACTTACGGAAAAGGTTGGCATTTTTCTTGACAGTGACAGTAAATCCATTGCCTGGCTGGTGAATCCTGAAGAAGATCATTGCCACATTCTGTGATGACCTGATGCTCCTCTGAATACTGCCAGTTTCACAGAAATCTACGTATCTTTGGGAAGTGGAGAGGGGATGGTCCAAGGAACTAGGAAATTTCTCTCCTTTTAGTATCCAGCCATCAAATACCTAAAGGGGTTCGATAATACGAACTACAGTTTTATAAAAATCATTCTGCTAGTAAAACAGAAATAAAGTATTGCAGAGACAACTTGTTCATTTCATAGATCTTTTTTATGCTGATACCAGATGACTTGTTCTAAGCCACCAATCAAAAGAATATACTTTACACTTCTGTATTTCCTGGCATTTTACTAATTATTCAACTTTGATGATAACTACTTGGGAAATAGATATTTGGGGAATAGATACCTTTTAATGTAATTTTTACCTCTTTCTGATGACAATGTTGGTGATGCTTGAGGAGGAGGCAGCTCTTTGTTCCATCATGACATTTGCATCAATTTAGAGGTTATTACTGTTGTAATCCCACATTGTTATTGAGTCAAGTTTTTGAACAACTTGATTTGGAAGCCACATCAAACATAGGCCACCCTCTCAAGCTCTGGACATTAATTCCACTGACATGGCCTGTCATTTTCCCTCATACATGCTTTACAGCTTGTCTCTCTCTGTCCTGGAGGCATTCCAGAGCATTGGTGCTTCAATGTGGAAGAACTGCGGTTTTGGGGAGGAATTGCAGGCAGAGATATTCCTCACTTCTGCATTCTGTCTTTCAGCTCGCCTTAACCACTAGAAAGCAGAACAAATGCTGCCTGTTTGGCTGGGTCTTAATTGTTCCTCACAACAACAGCAACAATTTTGCCTTCATCATATTCAGGGAAATGTATCAGAAATATGTCAGAACTAGAAATTTGCATTAACTCTAGTGTGGCTGAACAATTACCTTCCTTGCTTGCTGCTCTCACCCAGTAACTCCTTCTACGCTTCAGCTGGTCTTTGCTGACACTTTTAATATCTAAGGACCATTCTCTGCCACTGCTCAGGTGAGTAATCCTAAGGTGAAAATGGGTGCCTCTTTTGAAGAGCTGCAGGATCACTCTCAGGGTTTTCTAGAACTGCAAATTTTTCTAAGTTATGAGATATGGGTGCTCAAATCACATAAGGGAAAAGCTGTCTTTATAAATTCAATAGCATAATAAACTGAGGGCTCCATAAACAAAGGGAGTAAAACTCTATAAAGCCCCCAAAATCTCTTGATATTTTTCTAGCCTTTATAAATTGCTGCAAGTCAATCAGCCTACAATCAGCCTGATCAATGCACCCGCTAGGTATAGCAACTTGGCATTTGAAGAGATCCTGGCGAGGGGTAAAGGATGCAAAGATAAGATTCCCGAGGGAAAACAAGCAGAGGGGACCACATCTCTCCAAGTGCAGTAGGATCTGAAGGAAAATTTTCCTTGCTCCTACTCCTCAGAGCTGAGCTCGCATGCAGGTAGGATGGGGGCTGCGCCCTGTAGAGCTGCAGCACTGCGAAGGGCAGAGCCTGAGGTGGGAAGTAGAGGCACCTTTGAGCCTCCCCTTGTCTCCTGAACTGAGTTCAGATCTTGTCCAACATTCCTCTCTGCCAGCAAAATGCTTGGGTAACATTTGTTGGTTCTGGAACATAAATGGCTCTGAGTCATGAAATTGCTGCCCTATTCAGAGTGGATGTCCTGAAAAGCTCCAGTAGGGCCATTTAACAGAGCCTCTCAATAAACAAATGCTAATGACCACAGAGCCGAGATCCTGGAGCAGAAATAGCAGTTTGGAAAGCTGTGTCATTAGCTGCAGGGTTCATATGAATCACGGTGCTACAAAAGGAGTAACAAAGCCCTCCTTATTTGGCTGAGAGGGTTAGCTTGCATTGACCCAACTTTTCAAACTTTCCCCCGGATATAGGAGCTCAATAGAGATGTGCTCTTCTGCCTGGGAAGATAAAGTTCCTGGAAAAGTCCAGGAGAGGCTGTGCCACAGCTAGGAGATGGAGGCTCAGCCGGCACCAGTGCTGTACAGGGACAGCACACTCCCAAGGGCCTGGGGGAAGGAGGGACACATGTCCCAGAGCGGCTGATGTGCAAAATTGTGCTCTACTACACAGACACACTCCCGTTCACACACATTTGTCTACCCCTTCTACACATAACCTCACCCATGAGGACTGGAGGAGAGGAGGGGAAGAGCAGCGGGACTTGCCATCTTACCTTCAGGAAATCACCTCCCTGGCAGTCAATGTTGACGGAGTCGTAGTCTATGGTGATGAGCTCCTCGGGGTCCCCGATGAAGAAGGTAGCACAGTGCAGCTGGGGCTGCTCGGCGGTGAAGGTGAACTGCCCCTCTGTGCTCAGCATGTCAATGCATCCTGCAGAAACGCAGCCAGGAACCTGCCTCAGCCTCCAGCTCCGCGCTGGGAGCCAGACCCAGCACCAGCCAGGAGGGGAAGGGAAGGGAGAGGGGGAGAGATCCTCCCCTGAGGACAGGGGGAAGGGGACCAGGGAGGCTCTGCTGAGTGAATATCGAGCACTGAGGAGACGACAGCAACTCTGCATGTGTGTGTGATGAGAGGCGCTGGGTGCCGAAGCATCTCTGAACTGAAACTCTGTGTGTGTACGCATGTGTGTGCACACAAGTGTATGAACACTCAGTTGCTTCGGATTTCTCTCCCCCTCATCTCCCACATTCCTCCCACCCTTCCCTTCCCGTGGAGCCCACAGTCCTGTCCTGAAGGTTGCCTCTGTCACAGGGACTTGGGCTGGTGACCCCCATCCTGGCTGCCAGTCAGGGCCCCAGCTCTGAGCTCACCCCTTCCTCCTTCGGAGCCCCATTTCCATCTGCCTGCCATAACCACAGCTCCCAAAGGTTTTAAACACATTCCTTTTCCTCCAGCCCTCTCGGAAAGTACCTGCAGCCCCCTTGTACCCTAGCCCCCCTTCCTCTCTCCTCGCTCTCTTCAGGACTCTCCCTCACATTGGGAGTCCCCAGCAGAGAACCAAAGAAACTCACTGAGCGACCGACGGTAGATCTGCCCTGCAGACAGCTCTCGCTTCAGATCTTCGCTGAGGAGGAGGAAGGGCTCATCTTCACCAGCATCCCTCACCTGGTGAAGGAAACAGGACAAAAAGAGTCTGGGAGAAAATGAGACGTGGTCCCCTCTCTGCATCTCCTTAGAACTAGCACCGGCAGATTAAATCCCTCCTCCAAAAAGAGCACAGCTGAGGAAGAACTCTGTCAGAAACCTGCTGAGGTCCAAGGCAACCTGCTGCCGAGAGGAACGAACCTGGCACAAAGGGGTGAGCCTGAAGTGCAGCACACAGTGAGTCTCTGAACTCCTCAGCAAAAATGCAAGTTTGAGGAAAGGGAAGATAAACAAGAGAAATGGGGAGGGGTGAAGCGACTCTCTCATTAGCCTTTCTTGTGCAGTTAGATGTAGGTTTAATGCAGGGGGAGCAGTAAGAGCGAGGGAGAGATGAACAGCAGGATGCTGTAACACTGGAAATGCAAGTTACAGGAAAGCAGAAACCCGGCACAACGCATTGCTCACCTCTAGGTACCTGGCTTCCCCCTTCAGGGCTGCCAGGAAGATGAGGACAAAGTGGCACTGAAGCTGGAAAGCCGAAGGCATGCCGGCGGGTCCGTGACGCGCGTCCCTCCCTCCCGGGCCGCGTTCTCCCAGGCTGTGCAGACAGGCGGCAGCCGGTGGGGTATCTTTGAGAGACTCTTTTTATAGAGCGCTTGAGAGGGGAGGCACTTGGTCCCCGTACTGATAGGGTAACCCATGGTAACTGCATTCCTCTCCCAGTGACACAGTACGTGGGCATGACGAGGGTCCAGAGCACAGCCACAAATTCCCAAGCGAGGCTCTCCTCGCCGACAGGCGCCTTCCCGGCTCACCTGCCCGGCAGAGCTGGAGAGGCTCTTGGGTGAGGCTGCCTGCGCACGCCCCACGCCAGCAGGTTACCTGTGTTCACAGGCACCCAAAGGCAAAGCCAGAAACGGGGCACCCCCCCTTGCACACACCGCTCTCAGGGCGTACAGAGGGCACCCCAGACCCGCGCGGAGCAAGGGCCTCCCTGGCGCTCCCCAGCTCCCTCACAGCACGAAGCGATGCCCACACTGCTGCACAGCCTGGACACCAGCAGGGTGCTCCTGAGCCGCTGCCAGCACCAACACTCACCCAAGTGCGATAGGGGCCCTAAACCTGGCCGTTTTCCCCGGCCCTACCAATGGGGCCCCTCACCTGGAGCCATCACAGGAGCCACCCCAGTCCTCAGCTCTCATAAGCACAGGCAGCAGGCACTTCCCATAGCACTTCCAATGCACATCCAAGGCTCCTGGCCATGCTCCGAGCAGAGCAGTCACCCTGGAGCACCCCAAGTCCAAGCAGGTGCTTGTGGGCGCTGGCCCGTGGATGTCCCTGCAAGGCTTGTGGAGGCCGCAGCCCTCCTGGTCCTGCACCAGCAGCTGAGACCATCTACACATACAGAGGGCACAGACAGAGGGCTCTGTGCCAGACACAGCTTTCCTACAGAAACTAGGAAAACAAGATTCCCAGGGAGTATTTCCCAGAGAACAGCTACTACTGTTCCACTTTCTGAGCCCAGATGTCCAAGCGAGATGTACATAATGGTCTCAAATGTGAATCTGGGGATTAAAATCCACAACTCTGCAGAGTTCTAAATATCATTATTTCAGCAGAGTTGCTAATTTAACAGCTTGCTATGTTTTTCCCCAACCTGACCCCAGATGAACCCTTAATGTTCTGCAGACAGCGACTACCCTTTTCTGCTTATAGGTCTCCTGCTAACGTCTCCTTCTTCCCTGTTCTTCTCTGACAAATTGTCCCTTTGGTTAAGTACAACTTCAGAAATGTATCTTCCAAACTTGCAAAGCTGTAAGTGCATGGCTTCTGCTTTAGGGCTGAGGGCTTCCCTGCTGAAACTTTGAAACTTTAGACCAACAAGCAAAAAAAAAAAAAAAAAAAAAAAGGTCAAGCTTCACTATTTCTTTAATGTGAATTTGAATATTTCCCCACCTCCTGTGCCTGTATGGCACTTCTGTGCTTTTGCTATATTTTTATGTGGTTTTCAGGAGCATATAGAATACTAAGGAATCAGAAAACTCACATTTTTGAACCTTGACATCAATCACTGAAACTGCTTTGGCGGATTGAGTAGTTAACTATTGGATGAACCAAGACTGGATTAATTTGTCTTCGTGTGCTTGCTTACAATGTTTACAAGTGCTGATTTTAGGCAGGGATTATCAGAGGCTCCAAGGGAGTTCAGAATCCCAAACCCACCATAATTCTTTAGGAATTACAAGGTTTCTGGGAGAACTGCAGGGTTCAGCCCTCACTTACATTCTTGGACAATGGGAGGAACACCACAGGAGGTAAGAGAAACTTCCGGGACCATCAGGACCCCAAGGGACCAGAGCAGGCTTTTATCTAGGGGTTACAGGAGAATTCTGCACCATTTGTTCTCCTAAAACTCATTTCTTCGTCCCAGGGTATCACAAATCCCCTTTCTCATCTGAGACGGCTAGCCTAGACCCTTGTTCTAGCTCTGCTTTTGTTTAAGGTCATTGGCAAAGACTGAACACTTCAAGAAATATTATTCTGACTAACAAAGCAAAGAAAAAAAAGAAGATACCAACATTTTAAAAAGGATTCAAAATGTTCTTGCAACATCTTGAAAGTGAAAAGCACCTCAAATGTGATATGAACCCTTGGGCAAATGGGGAGGGTGTCATTTTTCTTTCATTAGGTTGAGTCATGATAACACTTCATAGGATGTTTTTTTTGTTAACATCAAATTATATAACATCATAAAATACATTTTCAGTCTGACCCTGCTGTGGGCTAAATAATCCTGTTTCGTTCATACTAACAACACCTTGGCTCTGGTGGCAATCACTGTGGTCATAGTCCATTTCTGGGGCAGCTCCTCCCCCGACACAGCAGATGGGAAGTTGCCCCACCAGCAAACTACCCATCTGAGCACGGGTATTGACAACTCCACAACACTGCACCCCTCCGATACGGCTCAGAGGGGCTGCTGGGGGACCTCAGCCCTTGCAAAGCCTGTTACAGCAGGGACTTGCAAGTGGATTATTGTTACTCTTTAACCCCTTTCAGTGGCATTCTTGGGAGAATCCGCCTGCCCCATGATAGAAACCCTGTGTTCTGCTCAGAGCTTGTAGGTGTCTTGTCAGCTATTATGTCTGAGAAGAGATCCCAGTTGTGGTGAGAGGTGGAGAAAATACACCTGAATAAAGCAAGTAGTGAAACAGAACCTTCCCCGCAGAGATTAAGCAATGCTCTGCGCTATAATGCAGGGGGTAAGTGTGCTCCTTTCCCTCGAGGGTAAGGTGGTTATTACCAGTAAAACTGTGACGATGTCCCTGGTTTTGGAATTTGTTCCTGCGCAGCGCTTGAGCTACAGATGCTCCTTATGTACTTGCCAGGACTGCGTGCTACAAAACAAACAGGACCGCCTTTCTCCAGAGGCTTCCTGGAGCCTCTAACTAACCGAAACATCAACCTGCCATGTTTTAATTTCTATGCAAGAACGTTTTATTTCAGCATTGGCTTCATCACAAGTACACTGCAGTCTCTGAACTCCACTCTCGCTGCTCACACAGAAACAATCCCACCTTCAGCACAGCTCATCTGCTCAGCCATCCTGGCTGGGGGCATCCTGGGTCCTGGTACAAGTGGCAGAATGAGCTCTCCCTCTAGCACTAGGGCTTTAAAAAAAAAGTTAATATTCCTGTACAGATATTCATCCCTCATGCAAAGCCCATCTCTTTCACCATAGGAAATAATCCTGGTGCCAGATAAGGAAGGGCTGGCTCTCCTTCTCTATTGCCAGCATCCTCAGGAGCCAATATGAGCAGCAACAACTCTGAAGTGAGACAACATCAAAAACAGGAGCAGAGTGGATTCCTCCTTCTGCCTTGGGCACTTTGTCCTCAGCTGTTAGCATGGATTTTTCACTGCTGCTCAGAGCACTGGCTGAAGAGATGTGGCACAGGGCAATGCACAGTGTGAGATATTTGGCTGAACTTTAAACTTCTTGTTGTGCTTTTAAACATCGCACTGAGTTACATTTATTTCCCTTATGCTTGATCCCACTGAAACTGAAAATTAATTTAGGGACTGTCTCTTTCATTCCCCCCTGGTGTCTGGGTCATGTAGTAATATTCAGTCCTTGCTGTTTATCACATGACATTAGGTTGCACACTGGGGGTCACAGTCATAGTCTTTGCAGGGAGGGACCGCCACACATTTATTTTATATACATGTATTAATATGTATGTATTTATGTATATGATATTTGGTTGTCTGTGATTCCTTCAGTACATTATCCCTTAACAGTGGGATTAGATAGCTCAGATAAAGGAGAAAAACAAAAAGCCAAAAAACTTGTGGCTCTGAAATATTCAGCCTGATGCATTTAAGGCCATTCACTTCTGCCCTTGCTAGATTTTACATTGGCCACCAGTTATTGCTGAGAAATACCACCATGGAGAAGGAACCACAGGGGAGGCTGTATGCCAAGTAACAGCCTGAGAGCTCTTTAGGAAACCACATGCTCAACACAGACACACACGTCTGAGTCTGGAATTGCCTGAAAAGTGAGACACTGAAGTCCAAATGCATAGAGTACTCACTTCAGGTCTATTTGCTTCAGGCCATAAGTCATGAAAGACACTGAATACAACACACCAATCCCCCTTTTTTCAAACCAGAGGGCTAACAAGGTTTCCATGTTCACACCCACCTCCGTTGCCCCATGTGTTGCTTTTCCTTCATTTTTGGACATGGAGGAGGAATAGGACCATGCCCCTGGCCTACCAGGCCTGGTCTCACATGGCCACCCTAGTCCAGGCACTGGCAAAAAGTCATATTTACACTGCAATTCCAGTGTAGTTCTCAGGGTGAATTTGTATATTTATACACCAGGAAGCCATTTCACTTCTTCAGCACAATACTTTCATTTTATCCGTAAGAACTGTTTCCCTGTACCTCACTGTGTCTGCGAAGAGGGCTGTCCTGTGTGTTGAGGAGCGCGGACAGGCCCCAGGGACCCTGCAGGGGACGGTGGGTTCAAACTCACGTGCAAGGGTCAGGCTGGCTCCCGTCCTTCAGGGGCTGGGGCAAAGACATTTAGGACTCTTCAACTCTGCTGCTCAGGCTGCGCTGAGATCTGCTGACCCTTTACAGGACTAACGGCACAACCTGAAGTCTTGTTCAATCACCACCCATGCTCTGCTATCTCCCCTTGTCCCTCACGTCCTCTCATTCACATCTCCCCTCTTTCTCTAATCCCTTCTGTGTTGTGATGAGTTGTACAAGCCAGCGGGCAGGCACACCCAGCGGTAAGTGCACAGGAGACGCTTTGCCCCACTGACATGAAGCTGGGGCTACCCCTTCATCTAGGGGCCCCATCATTGCTCCGAGCCCATGCCCTGCTTTGCAGCCAGCTTGCCTAGTTGGGTGGTACTCCCTGAAAAGAGAACCAGTGCTCTCCTTGAGCATCAGCATGGGGTGCCACCCCACTTGTGTGGTAATTCCCACAACAGGGATTACCCATGTCCAGTTCCCAGCTATTACCTCTACTTTCCCCCTCACGGAA